TTGATTGAAGCTCATGATCTGTTGTTTTGTTTACACCTTTATTGGCCTTAATTGAAAAGTTTCTTTTACAAGGTAAATTAATTCTTTCTCTGTTTTAGTATTAATCACAATCGGATGTAAGACATGTATGCAGTGTCTTAAAGTTCTGCCGTCAAACCAAGTACAAATCAACTAAAGGTGAGAGAGTGGAACCTGAGTCTGCCGACCAGGATTTACATTTGTGTGCGTGTTCATGATTCTCCAATGTCCTTGACAAAGAGACATTCAAGTACCAAATGCCATCTTGGAAATGAAGTAAACCCAATGAATTGTTTCTTTTTAATCCCATTAAATCAAGTTATTAATTCATCTCTAGAAACCCTTTACCAGTGAAACTTCGGCTTCACATATACTAGAGACCCTTTACCAAGTTTTAACTTGAGGATGGTTTAGTCCAACAGCCGTAGCCGTATATGTATTTATTCTTAAGGGTAGTCTTAAAAAATCCTGTGTTATAACAAAATAACACATTTTCTTTTTGTTTAATTATTGTTGTCATATTTTTCTTACAGAAATTGGAAATTATGTTTATTTCATCAGACAACAATAATATGTTTTTAAGCGAGACACCAGTAGCAGGCAAAAACTTTTTTGGAATTTTAAATGGATAACACACACAAATCACTAACCACCACTGAGCTGCTCGTGAAGTATTCAACTGTTTACTCTCCTAAAGTACGTATCATAAAATGCAGACAAATATCACTTGCAATGAATTCTGACCTTGTGCGCAGGACGCATGGAAATATCCAAGCAAAAATATACAATAGAGTATTGTTCTTTCCATGATGAGTGGTGTTACTCCTCACTACTCCAACAACAGAGTGGTAGTTTTTCTTTGTTTTACATTGAGCCTTAGTTGAGCTTTGCTCCTCCTTCAGAGAGAGTGACAAGGTAGCAGGGATAGAGGCTGCTCTCATGTAACCTGAAAAACCAGGTAAGCTCACAGACATGTATGTTTCCACAATACCCAACACTACAGACGAAATCAAGTATCACAACAAAACAACTGAGAAGATAAAAAAGACTAGGGTTTGTGTCTGTCCTTGTCCTGTTAGATCGCAGTGCGGCATTCAACACTATTGATCATCATATTTTATTAAAGAGAATGGAACAGTTCATTTGCATTAAAAGAACCGCCCTAAACTGGTTTAAATCCTATTTTTCAGATCGATTCAAACTTGTGCAAATTAATGTGAGTCATCTGTGCACACCAAAGTTAACCATGACATGCGGATGACACCCAGTTATACATATCAATAAAACCAGAATAGTGTAATCAATGAACTAAACTTCAAGCATGTTTCTCTTTTTAAACTCAGATAAAACAGAGGTTCTAATACTTGGCCCTAAACACCTTAGATATCATCATCTAATGATATACAGTAGCTGCGCTAGATGACATTGCCCTTGCTTCCATTGAAGCAGTCAGGAATTTGAATTCATCTTTGATCCAGATTTTTGATTCTCACTTAAAACTAATTTCTGCGACCGCCTTCTTTCACTTACACAGCATCTCAAAGATCAGACATGTCCTGTCCTAAAAAGATGCAGAAAAACTAGTTCATGGCTTTGTTACACCCAGATTATTGTAATTCCTTATTATCAGGCTCCAGCAGTAAGTCATTAAAAACCCTACAGCTTGTCCAAAATGCTGCCGCCCATGTCCTGACAAGAACCAGGAAAAGAGACCACATTTGTCCTGTATTAGCTTCACTACACTGGCTTCCGGTTAAATATAATTGAACAATTTAATATTCTCCTCCTCACCTACAAGGCCCTTAATAATATGGCTCCATCATTAAGAGCTTAAAGAGCTCATAGTACCATGTCACCCTACTAGAGCACTGCGCTCCCAGAATTCAGGCTTACTTGTTGTCCCTAAAATATCGAAAAGTAGAGTAGGAGAGCTTTCAGCTATCAGCCACATCGTGAATTATGATGGTGGATTGCGAATCAGAGATTGTGATCGTAATGGCAGATCCTGTATTGTGCTGGCTGATCGTGATGGAAATGGTGGATCATTAGAATGGATTGTGGGCTATGATGGCATCCGATCGTGATTGTTGATCCTGATCGTGGACTATGATTACAGCAAGACTGCTTGATATACAACATGTCTGCTCAGATACTCTACCATTATTGACAATAATTCCTCAGTTCATTTACCTTCCATCATGCAATAAACTGTTT